AACCCCCCATTTTATAGCTCAGAATATTCTGAACTAAAATTCTTTTACAGAACGGTTGTTCTCTTGCCTCTTTTGCTGGGACTTCTTCTCCACTGCTCTGGTTCCAGCTGATCATTTTTCTCCCAATTATGGAGCATTAGTGGAACTGCCAATGCCAAATCTTCTGTGAGCAAAGTCACTCCCAGTCCAACCCTATGCATGTGTCCTTGGAAATAAATCTCACTTGTTGCTTAGTGCTTACTCAGCCGAAGGTTAGAGCTGGCCTTTCTCATTTTTGATTCCAAGGTTTTGCCTTAAAAAAGGCTCCTAACAGAAGACAAGAAACTGAATAAAAGCAGAGCGTGGCACCATCAGATCTGGCTACCACATAGAGGGTGTGCTTGCAGAGAGGCATGCTTCACTCACAAATTGGTTAATCACATGCTTTCGTCCCTGCTTATAACGGGTGGAAAGAAATACATCTTGCTTGGCTGGGGCAAGAGATTAGTACACAACTGTGAAAACACATTGAAACTCCAGAGCATCTGTTGAGCAGTTCTTTCTCTTCCGGTATAGCCTGCTGTACCACGTTGCACGGCAGTAATGGCAATTAATTCCCTTACATGGGATCAAGGAGTTGACTTGTCCACAGGATTAATCTTACAAGATACTCAGGCAGATAGGAGAGAAGAAAAACAAGGAGAAAGATTTTAAAAGAGGTCAGTAGAAAGCAGGACAGAGGAAAAATATGTTGCTGCCGGAGGTGAAGGACGAGTCAGTGCCTCTCTTGTTCCTTCGACAGAAGCCACCCAGACTGGCAGCTAAATCCCGAACACTAGTGAAGGGTCAGTGTCCTCCCCGTGAGCTTATATTACGTATGCAACCGGATTCACTGGCTTTCCGCTTCTGCTGCTGGAAGCACCCACCTCGCTCCGTCTGATGACAGGGCCCGCTCTGGTGGACAAGGCAAAACATTGTTTAGGGTACCATCATATAGCACCCCGATGTTGTCTGGGGGACCTGAGACCCTGTGATCTTATTGAATCAAAGACTAGGGTTGGAAGGCACTAATCAGGCCATTGTTCCAACCCCCTGCTCAGCGCAGGACTCTGAGTTAAAGTCTGCCTGACAGAGGGCCACCCAGCTGCATTCTGAATGCTTCCAGTGTGGGCAAACCAACCCGCACTCTCCCTAGGCAATTGGTTCCATTCTTGCATTGCTTCAGTTTTACCTGACGTTCAGCTGTAACTGGAGCCAATTATTCCATGACTTGCACTCTGGGATGATCAAGAGGAGATCCTGGCCCTCCTCTGTGTGACAACCTTTCTGGTACTATCGGGTTTCCTCACAGCCTTCTTCTCTCAAGGCTAATCATGCCCAATTCTTTCAGTCTCTCCTCGCACTGCTTTGTTTCCAGTTCCCTTGCCCTCCCCTGAATCTTTTTCTGGATTGTCTGCATTGTTCTTAAACTGTGTGCAATACTCAAGGAAAGTCCTAACCAGTGCTGAGTAGAGGGGAACTTGCACTTCGCTTGATTCAGAAATCGTGTTTCTATTAATGCAGCTCAAAGTAGCACCTGCCGTTTTGCCGCCACATCACATCGTTGTCTCATATTTAGCTTTAACAGTTCCAAGATCCTTCTCTCTTGTCGTATTGTTGAGCAAAGTATCCTCCGTCTTGTAATAATGCACTCAGCCATGGAGCCCACTGGGTGACTACCAGTCAGAAATTTATTTATTTGATTTATGTGCTGCCCCACTAGCCTAAGCTCTCTGGGCAGCTTACATCATGATAAAGCAAGCATTGGTCTGAATTGTCACCTTTACCTCTGGCAATGTTTTCCACACCTTAGTGACCCAAATTCATCAGGTGTCCCTTTCGCCTTCGCATATGGATTTTGTAAGGCAAAACACAGGAAAAGGTGGCAAGTTTCTAGCCGTCTTGGAGGATTTGGCACACCCAGGGGACATTTTGTTTTTCTCACCCAGGTTCTCACTAAGCTGATAAACTATTGTCTGGCTGTGTGCGCAGTGTCGGCTTCTTCCCCTGCTAGGCAGGCATTTTACCTGCAGGAGATTGGGGCCGGAGGCGTGTTTAGGTCTGGAAGCCTCCACCTGGCAGGAGCCAAGACACAGGCCTATCTCCTTGGTGGGTCCCAGAGCGTGCTGTCCGCCCCTACCATGAAGTGGCCCCCTCAGACAGCTGGCTTGGGCTGCCAGGAAAGGGCAGCCCATTGTTAGTTTGCTCTGCGTTTACTCCTGGAGGCAGCCTCTTGTGGGATCTTGCATCAAAAGGGCTCAAACCATTAGGCCAACCTTGTTCTGGAGAAAGGGAAGGATTTGTTCTACCTCAAACAGCAAAACAGCTGTGGCTGGTCCTGATCTGGTCAACCTGGTCAAATCTAATAGCGTTGCTAGGAGGGAAGTTTAAACAGGAAATCGATTTCAGTGGATTTATTCTCATACAGTGTTCACCATTTCTTGGTTGAATGGGGTGACACTGATTATTCCTAGTTAAAAATAGCTGCCGTTTGCACTTTTCCTAGACATCATAAGCGTAACAAGTAAATTATGATTGTGGTTATGAAAGTATGTTTATAGCTAGGTAATTATTTACTATTTATTATCCATCATAATCTATATTAATATGGATTTTACTTTTCAGCTACATTTAGAAATGAGAGCAATTAGCAAGAGAGAAAATCTTCCCTACAATTTAAAAATCAATTTCTCCGTCATGTTTTGATTGTCTGCTGCCCTCTTGTGTTTGCGACTGAGCCATTGGCTGCTGGTTGAGCGTGTGAAGGGAATGAAAGCGAGAAGTTGTCAAAAAGGTGTAAGGTCTTGTTTTTGCAGCAAAAGTCTAGCGATGCCACTCGCCAGGAAATGGTTTTGAATGGCCACTAAGCAAAAGAGGGAAAATGCCCAGCTGGTCTATTCTCCTGCCTGCCAACTGGCTGACAGTTGCAAAACACAGTTCCAGTTGTGGCGCTCTATGGGGGAAAAGACAGGGCTGGGAAAGTCAAGAGATTTAATGTTGAAAAGGGATGGCTGAACAGTACTGCAAGCATCACTCATCTGCCTTACCCCCCCCCCCTTTAACTCACCTCATTCTCCAGTATCGTCTTCCCACTTCAATAAATACCTCACAGTTTTTATCAACAGCCTTTCCCACTCAAGGCTCCCACTCAAGGTCCTAGCCTAGACTGTCAAGTCATAATTATGTCATAATATGGAAGAGCTAATTGCCATGGAAACGGAGGGATGGTAAGGATGCTTCGCAGCCAACCTGGCTCAGTGTGGGAAAACAGCTTGCAGGGAGAAGGATGCGTTTGATCTGTTTCCTCTGGTGAGATGCAAATTTTTTTCATCCAAATTTAGCTGGGCGCAGGTGGATGTTGACTGGCTACATTTGCAACCTCTCCCCTGCCCCCCCCAAAGATGAATCAAAGAATGAATCAAAAGCGGTGCACTGAAGGAAAACTGGACTGTGGTAGTTTATTACTAGCAAGATGTAAAGATGTGAAGGTCTTTTCTTTGAGAAGAGGGTAGCCATTTAAAAGGGAAGGCACCTATAGGGAATAGCTGACTCAGAGGCCTAGACAGAAGCGGATGGCTTTACATCTGAATGATTAGAATACTAGAAACCAACTCAAAATGGCACTGGGGGCTGGTCCCACACCAGGGTGGGACTTTCACAGCTGGCTGCTGACCCTTAAAATTTCACTTGTTCTGAGGCTTGACCGCCGCTGGGTGGTATGGGGTGTTTTCACAGCTGTTGGTGGACAGGCTGTTTCGCAAACTGTGCAGCTGCAACCCACAGGGATATTCCAGGGCCTGTCCCCCCATGGCGTACAACTTTCACACCTGTCCACTGACCTGGAAGATTTTGCTCTCTGAGGACCTGAGGTCCAGTGGGTGGGTGTCAGGGGTTGATGTTCATGGTCATCAGCCAATGTGCTCTACTTAGCACACACCAAAAGGGGGCCTTGCTGGATCTGCCCCACAGCAGGGTGTAAATTTCACGGCAGTCAGCTAACCCATGAAAACCTGTTTGCAACTGGCTTGCCACCCAGGGGGCGACCTTCATGGACCCTGGTCCACCAGTCATTTGAGCATGTTGGTGGACCAGGGCTAGGATAGTAAGCCCTAGGAGCCATTTGGCTATGAACCTCACTGGGTGTCTTTTGGGTCAGTTCCTTGCTCCAAGCCTTTCACATTGGTTAAAAATTGAGTAGGTCCTTCCGAAGAGGAAAAACAAGCTTGGGTTAGAGATGCAATGTAATCATGAAGCTCTTCTCCCTTCCTTCAGTTCCCTCCCCAACTCAGCTTTTCATGCCCGAGTACATTCAACAGGAACAATTTGCTTGTTCTTTCCTTTTATCCCAGGTCTCCACTTCCCTGCGTGCTGAACTGCAGATTATAAACTGTTTAGGGCAGCCATGCAAAACTTTATCTGTAACACACTGTTATAAACCAGTCCAATCGTCAGGTGAGTCCCTACCTGCCTGAACAGATTCAATGGCAAGAGACAAATATACTGTCCTCAGAGAAACCCAGACTTTCCATTAAGCCCAAAATACTGTATTTAATTTTCCCTATTTTTCAAGAGGTTCTGTGTCAAAACATCCAAGAGTTATCGTCTCTGGAATCAGGGAGTACCTAGTGGTTACTACTGGACTTGTAAATGAGGAACTCCCAGTGCATGAGAGACTAGTCCTCTCTTGGGGAAGGATGGAGACATTTCTGTAAATGTGTGCCTGTGCTTTTGTACGAACCTCAAGGGGGAGTGGATATAAGGGTTTTTCTCACTGCTCCAGCTCCCTCATTTATGGCTCAGGTTTTAGACTCACTTCTTGTGGGGTCTAAAATTATAATGTGACAAGCAGATGTGTGGCACTACTGTTTGTATGACAAACTGTTAAACTGGTTATACATATATTCAAGCAAGTGGAGCGAGCTAAAATATAAAGAGGAAAAGTCTGTACGGTACCAAAGAAATCAAAATCAACACAACTTTCAAAACTCTACAGTCCTTTATGATTCACTTTGGCCTTAAGCAGACACACAGAGATACATGGTTTTGGTCACAGCGTTCAGTATTGTAAGAATCTCCAGCACTGTGAAAATATTGAATTAATTTTCCCCTTTATAAAAAGAGCCAGTTTCTAGTGCTTACGGTTAACATACACTTGGAATAATATATGCATTCCCACCCGAAGTCTCAAAACTAGAAGTAGCAAGTTAGTGAACTTTCCAATTGCAGGGGTCGTATCTCTTTTGCTCTTCCAGTGACAAGTTAAACAAAAAAATATCCTGAACAGTTTAAAATATACACACTTGTGCACTTGTAAGTTGCAGGATTCTGCTTTCCTTGATATGGAATTTCAAGCATACACACAGTCCTGATCATGGCCAGCCAAGAGCAAAGTTTCTATTGTTCTGATTACTACAGAGGATATATTGAGAATCTTCTATCTGGAACTGGAGCACAATGGCCTTTCTTGTAGTAATGCCCCAGCTGCTCAGCTCCAACTCTGGGCCAGCTGTAGGCCAGAGGTTCATGAAGTTGTGTGCCCAGGGAGAATGTCATGGCTTCTTTGTGGGATGGCAACCTTTAGAACACGAGTTCAATCCAGACCAGCTGAAACCAGAGGGTTCATCCAACTTGTCCCCCCATTAGTGGAAGGGAACTTAGTGGAACCACTTATCCCTCCCTCACTTAGGGAGCCCCCCAAATCTGCCCTGGAGGGTTGGGGCCCCTCTGGAGCCAATTCAGCAGCACAAGGAGCTGCGAAAGAGAAAACCGGGATGTCCCACTGTCCACTTGTGTGAGGGCTGGATCCAACCCTAAGTGAACCATCCGAATTTGGCAAAATACAAGCTTGTAGGATGCATGTCAAAACTGCAGCTCCACCAGGAATATACACGTGCCTCTGTGCTCAGGGACAAACCCTGATTTTCCCCAATGTGGTGCCCGGAAAGGGTCTCTAGTGTAAATCAGGTCCATGACCGGACAAACACTCCATGGCTCCCCAGGGTCCTGATATACAAGGAAACTTTTGTCTGCTACTGTGATGCGTACAGAGCCTCATTTTTGTTCCTGGTTTCAAGGTACAATGAATGGCTTCTACTTGTTTGAGAAAATACAGGCTGCACTGGGGATTATACAAACAAAAAAGGACATCCATAGACCTATACAATTTCAAAGGTTGTATCTACACTACCAACCTGTATCAGTTACATAAACATTTCAGGTCATAGTTTCAGCTAAAGAATTCTGCAGACTTTAATCTGGCAATGGCACTGAGAATACTCTTAGAAACTCCAAGGCACTCTCTCTCAGCACTTCAGTGCTCTGGGGAAAGTAGATAGCGATTGGGTTATAAATCCATGGTGTCAAAGAGCTCATGTGAGCACAACTGCAACATACACCAATACCTGATTGTGTGAATTGGCCCTAAAATCCGGTCCACCCCCCCCCCCCCGCAAACAAACATGTTTATCCTTCAGCATATTGAAGGGGGGTGCTTGAGGGGGGCTTACATGGGGGTTACACCATCTTTGTTTCACCTTGACAATGAAACGGTCCTGGACTTGGAGCTGCCTCATGGCCATCTTGTGGGCTTTACACCCGAGTAGGGAATGATTCTTGAGCTGCATTTCGTGTGTTTAGCCCAGCGTTCCATCCACTTAGTTTGGAAGTCACACATTCCTCACAGGGAACGCAGGTCAAATGCTCCCGCTGGCATCACCCAAAATGAGCTTTTATCTTCTGATAACGGGGATGTGGTAGTGACGGTCATCTTCAGTAAGAAGGGACACTTCGTGCCAGTCTGGCCAATTCTCCTCCACATAGCTTTCTTGAAAATCTCCTGAATTAAACTTACACAATCTGTAAACTGTTATCTTTACTTCAAGTGAATGCCCAAGGAGAAATATTTCAACCTGTAATAGGAATAAAGGCAAAAATCAATTCCTTGAGAAAAAGATGTAAGAGAAATGCACTGATAAACCATAGAATGAAGTTTGTTTGACCAGTGCATTTGCTTGCTTTGTTTACACAGAGTTCAGTGGGACCTGCTCCCAGGTAAATGTCCGTAAGAGTGCAATGCCAGCATCCATTTTGCTAGTATAAGGATGGAGATGAGTTTTGCAAGTGAAAGCCCTTTATAATTCCCAATGTTTACTTATTTATTTATATTTATCTCCTGCCTTTTCCTTCTAACAAGCTCAAAGTGGTTTACAACATTTTTCTCCCCCTGCTCTCAATCTTATCCCCACAACTGCAAGTCCACGGTTGGGCTGAGGGTCTGGGACTGGCCCAAAGTCACCCTGATGGCTCCATGGACGAGTGGGGACTGGAACCCGGATTGGCTGAAGCCCAGTCCTGTGCTCTTAACCACTATACCACACTGTCTCTCTTAATATAGAAAATACAGCAAATGGTAATGTAAGAATTTCCTAAGTTTAACAGTGTTTAATTGCAAAAGTCTAAGTTACAAAGGACCTATTGTGGAAAAATATCTATTAAAAACCCGTGCTAACGCCTTGTTCAGATTTGCTTGAAGTACACAAAGGTGATACTGTCTTTTGAAAATTCAGATTTTAGAGAAGCGTTTCCTTTGCTTTTACTGTTTGTAGCCAATGAATGGCCATTACAATACAAACGCTTAAGAGAAATGTGGCTAAGATTTCCAGAAACCAGAAAATGCGATGACAGTGCCCTGCATTGCTCTTGCCCCACTCCCATGAATAACCGAAACAAACACATGCAGAAGAAGCAGATTTCAATTTGCCAATTTCCTTCTGATAAAGAGTTCTGATCTTTGCTTTCCACTGTGTCCCGGTTTAGTCCTTCCGTTTCTCTGCTTGATGTAGGCAAAACACCCGGTGAATCTCATGCACACATCCAAGCACTGAAGTATCTTTACCTGCTTCCGAAATGCCACAGAGCCTTTGCGTTTTGTTTCTCGGCCACATATTTACCTGGTCGAGACCTCTTCTGTGCCCAATGGAATTCAGGTGATTCATCATGTAACTCAGGGGGTCCAAGGAGGTGTCGCACATGAACAGGCGGTTAAAAAACCTGGGGATGCCGTCCCGCTTGTTGTTCAAGCCTTCGTAGGCTTCTATGACCTGGTAAAGCATGATGAATTTTATGGCCTCGTAGAGCTTGTGCTCGATGCTTTCGTCGCTGAAAAGGGTATTGCAGAGCTTCCCTCTCTCAGAGTGGTCTTTCATAACACTGGTTTCCATCCACTACAACACACAAAATCGTATCAGGTCACCCACTGCAGCCGATGCGCAAAATGAAACAGTTCAGACTGGGGTGGTACTACTTTGGTCACAGGTGTAGGATTACATAAATACACAAACACGCACGTGTTCTCCATTTCCCCTCCAAACTGCAAAGGTGACTGAGCGTGCTCAGTGGCCACGGAATGCCAACTGGCTCTTGTGGGAGGAGGGGAAAGCAAACCGGAATGGAATGGAGTATCCTGGAGGAGGGCATAGCCAACTGGCTGGAACAGGAGCTCTCTGCACTACTGTCTTGCTGCAGGGCTCCCTGGGAAATACACCGTGTTTATCGAAGAAATGGCTTTTCCAAACAACGCTGCTCAGGAGCCCAACCTGTTCTGGTCACTGAACATTAAACATGCACTCAGTTGCCCTTCAGGGAATGTAGCAGAATTTTTTAAATAAGATGTGCCCAGACTATTACAATATTTCATTGGATAAAAGCATTTTTCTCTTAAATATTTATAGATCGCTCAAACCTCAATATATATGCCTTTTTAAGATACTGAATAAAATATGCACTCCAGGATAAGCTGGACATGCTTATGGTAGGCATGTGATGAGCAGAGCTGGCCGGAGCCAGACTAGATGGCCCAGGAGGCTCCTTCTGACTCGCGCTGTTTCTATGTTTCTACTACAGAAATACACCAGAACCAAAGTATCTTCCGAATGTCTTTTTAAATGTGTCTTTAATTCACAGATCTGTCAGTTAACATTTCCCTTCCCAAGTAATCTAGTCCAGCCCCACTTCATGCACATACAGTGACTGGATGGCGAAATATTTAACGGATTACCAGCAATGCAAATTACAGTCCCAAGCATCAGAGAGTTATTCCCTTTTGCCATTCATCCTGGTCGTACCTCCTTACTCACCTGACTTTTTAACATTTCAACACACTTGCGTAATTTCCCTAATGTACTGGAGCCAGTGTACTGCTCTGGTCCAAAACCATATTGCTGGATCCAGTTACAGCCTTGTGAATAGAGGAGTTTCTCGGGGAGCTGAAAGAGAAGAAAGTACAGCTGATGTGTCTTTGAAGAACGTCACTAGAAAACGAGGATTTTAAGCCGAGTCAAAGGATATGTGTCTCTTTTACCTGAGACCTGGGAAAAATGCAGATGCTGCTTTCTTGATGCTTCTTTCAAACAGCCAAGGTAGAGTGGCTCTTTTTCCAAATCAAAGTATATCTCCATCTCCATGGCTGGCCCAGTGAACTTGATGGCCAGCTGGGGAACAGAACCCGGGATTCCCGAGTCTCAGCTCAGCACTCTCACTCGAAGCCACCCTGGCTTGCAAACCCATCATTCCGTTCTTCTGTGGGCTTCCCTGCAGTCCCCCATCCAAGGCCGTGATTAGGTCTACACCTACTTAGCCTCAGCTTCAGTTCCATTTTAGCATCAGTGTGTCAAGCCTCAACACCTGCCCCTAGTTCCACTGGGTTCTGCTTCTTTTAAAAAACCCAAACACCTCCACCACATTTGGAGAATAAAATTATAGCACAAATATCGTTTGTGTACCTTCAGGACATCTGTTGCCTTTGTCCACGATGGAGGAGGAAGACCTTGGCTGAATATCTGGAACAGCACAGCTCTTAGCACACAGTAGTTATCTCCCCGGACTAGTTGTATGTATTTCACATGGTGTCTCCAGAACAACTCTTCATAAGCCTTAAAATAAAGAAGGAACAAGAATTAATTGGAGGATGCCGTTAACAGGGGCCATGCTTCCTGCATTCTGGATGGGAACAAATGTTTGACTGCAGCAGTTTTCCAAGGGCCGTTCTGAGGAAGAGCATCTTTTGCTACACAAACACATCCCTACAAGAGGTGCATCCCAGGAGGCCTGCATCTGCTTTGAAAATATTACCTTGGCTACATTAGAAATGGCTTCAAACTAAACCAGAAATCACTATGAGCAGAAAACACAGGCATTTGTTCTGAAAAAGGAGCGCGGCTGAACATTTCCTGCACTCGAGGGTCCTGAGGCTGGGGCCTCCTTGTGCTTGGTGGGGAACGCCAAACAGACCCCGGCCGGTGTCAAGACAGGTGCCTCCTTTGGGGACCTCCAGAAGCTGGGCTTGGCACAGGTGCTGAGAGCTGCCAGCGGAATGACGGAGCCGGGGCTGATGGCGCGAGTGAGTGGGCTGTCAGGCATACGGGCCAATGTATTTATGCAGAAAGCCTCCTCTTCTAAGACCTCTGCTTAATTATGTTCGCACAGTGAAGCCCACGTGACCGTGACGCGGTGGCTCCCAGCTCACAGATGGAGCAAAGATAAAAGAAATCCCAGTCCATGGGTATGAAGTCTAATTAAAAAGTGCAGTACCACAGCGATCACTTCCTTTAATAGGGAACGAGGCCAGTGAATGGCAACCATGCTAGTGCCAAGCTGGGGCCACGGAAAAAGAAGAGGGGCTGCAAGAAAGCTCTAGGAAAGGTCAAAGTTAGCAGAAAGCAAAACCAGTTTGAGGAATAAAGAACTAAGGAGGACAAGTGGAACAACCAGCCTGCCCTGCACTAGCTAAGCAGCCCAAGAGAGGCCGACACATACTTGGTGGCCACAGACTACTGTCTGTCTGTTGATCGGGGCAGGGAGAGGCCCAGAAGACTGGGGCGGGCAAGGAACAGTGTGTTCTTGCTGGCACGGCATGTAGAAGCAATCCACACTACAACAAGTGCATGCAGATCCCACCAGTTTTTCTAGCCAGATGGCCTTTCAGATACTTGCATTATCAGTTCAATACACTTTTGTAACCTGCCAAAAATGTGGTGAGTAAATAGGCCATAAAATCTTCCAATTCAGCCTATTTTACAATCTGGCACACCTTGTTCACTTAACCATTCCAAAAACTGGATGCAGATGAAGCTAGACCAGCAATCCCCAGTGCTGTCCCTGCAGGTATACAAGAGCACCTGAAAAGCCCCCGAATGTGTTTTTTTTTTCCATGTTAAATGTATGTGCATGGATTTGTACGAAATGCATAGAACTTCCTAGCAATTATTCATAGGCTTAACAAAGACGAACCAAATATTCAAATAAGTATCCATCTGAAGTTGGCGCCTGTATGGCACCCATTCAAGTATTGACTATTGTGAGGCTGTCAATTCATCTCCTGAGCAGAGGTGAGTGTTTATCTTTCCAACGTTGTAGCACCATCCTTTCAGCTATCAAAGGGGTGCAAAGGATCCTTCTTCTCTTCCATCTAGAGAAGTGCAAGAGGACTGGAGAAGGACTAATGTTGTCCCTATCTTCAAAAAGGGTAGGAAAGATGAACCTGGGAACTACAGTCCAGTTAGTATGACATCAATTCCTGGGAAAAATTATTAAAAAATCAGTCTGCAAGCATCTGGAAAAAACTGCAGCGCTGAATAGAAGCCAACATGGCTTTATCAAAAATAAATCCTGTCAGACTAATTTAATCTCATTTTTTGACTGAGTAACCTCCCAAATGGACAGAAGGAACACTGAGGACATAATCTACTTAGATTTTAGCAAAGCTTTTGACATTGTGCCCCATGACATTCTGAAAAGCAAATTAGCAAAAAATGGACTAGATAGGAAAACTATTAGGTGGATCTAAAATTGGCTGCTAAATTGGACACACAGAGTGCTCATCAATGGCACCTTCTCAAACTGGAGGAAGGTAACTAGTGGGGTGCCCCAGGGTTCAGTCTGGGGTCCAGTGCTCTTCAACATCTTCGTTAATTATTTAGATGAGCAAGTACAAGGAAAGATAATCAGATTTGCAGATGATACAAAACTGGGCGGAACAGCAAACACCCTAGAAGACAGAATGAAGATCCAGGGCAATCCTGATAAACTTGAACACTGGGCTAAGAGCAACAGAACGAAATCCAATAAGGACACGTGCCAAGTCCTCCACCTAGGAAACAGAAACCAAATCCATCGATACAAGATGGGGAATACATGGCTTAGCAGAATTGAAGGAGCAAAAGACCTCAGAGTACTATAGTAGTAGCTGTTGTTGTTCAGTCACAAAGTAGTGCCCGACTTTTTGTGACCCCCATGGACCACAGCACGCCAGGCCCACCTGTCCTCCATTGTTTCCTGGAGTTCACCCAAACTCATGCTCATGGCATCAGTGACCCTATCTAACCATCTCATCTTCTGCCATCCCCTTCTCCTTTTGCCTTCAGTCTTTTCCAGCATCTTTCCCAGTAAGTCCTTCCTTCTCATTTTGTGGCCAATGTATTTGAGCTTCGGTAATTGTAGGCTAAATATGAGTCAACAATGCCATTTTGGAATGCATTAATAGGAGTATGAATTCCAAATCATGAGAATTAGCAGTTCCTCTATACTCTTTACTAGTCATGGGGGTCACAAAAAGTCGGGCACTACTTTGTGACTGGAATACTGTGTCCAGTTCTGGGCACCAAGATTTAAGAAAGATGCAGAAAAATGAGAAAGAGTTCAGAGAAGGGCAACAAAATGATCCAGGGTTTGGAAATACTGAGAAAGTGTTCAGCGAACTGGGCATGTTCAGCCTTGAGAAGGCTGAAGGGGACATGGTATCACTCTATAAGTACCTCAATGGCTGTCACAAAGAGGAAGATCGAGATCTCCTCTTGCTGATACCAGAATGCAGGACACAGAATAATCGAGTCAACTTGCAACAAGCCACATTCAGGCTAGATATCATGAAAAGCTTCCTCACTCACTGTCAGAGAAATACAACAGTGGAACCAGCTGCCTAGAGAAGTGAAACTAGAGACATTCAAGGTGAAACTGGACAGCCATCTGAGTGGGTTGGTGTAAATAGTGTCCTGCACCAGTAGGGGGATGGACTCAATGTAGCCCCTTCCAACTTTACTATTTCTGATTCTATAATGTCTATGAAGCAGGTAAAATATTTTAAAGAAGGTGTATATCAGTGAATAGTGAAGATGTTCCAGTACATAGTTTATCTGTGTAAAAACCTCCTCCTGAAAAAACTAAGTATGGGACAAAGAGCTGCAACAGAAAGACTTGACCTTCATTCCAGGTTGGGGATGGGAAGGAGACTCCTTTAGAGAATGGCTCAGAATCAGCAGTAGAGGATGGAAGAGAACTCTTGTACGAACGTTTATCTCAGTACAAGGCTTGGCATTTTCCATGATTCCTGAGTGGGAGGCCAGCAGGACACCCAAGGGGGAGCTCAGGGACATGGGTATGGGGCCAACAGTCCAGCAAGAGAGCTGTGAGGTAAAACTGAAGGGTAAAAGGGGATAACTTAAAGGATCAAGTGGCTCGACACCGGAGCGACATGCTACGTATTGAGGGCTCCATGAGTGTGATGGCAGAGGCAGGAATGCCATGACATGGTTAAAGGACGCATTAGCCAGTCATGAGCCCAAGCAGACAATCCTTCATCAAGGAGATGTTGTGCTGTCCAAGAGACACGAAACAAACATTCTTGTTGAATAAGCTACAGCCGGTAACCTATAGATAAAGGAGGAAGGTGCCAAAGAAGCCACCTGCTGTGGGTGGTGGTGCCCACAACTGTTTCTAAAATTCCCAAATATGCCACCCTGGCCTAAAAGGATTGGGGATCCTTGTTCCAGACACTGAAAACATGGCTAGTTCTCAGCTGTCAGTTGCTGCTTTTTGTGTATTCCATCTCCCTCATGGCAATACGACAAATGGGAACTAGCAGCATTGTCAAAAAGTACACTAGCGGGGGTATTAACCCCAGGGTCCTGGCTAGTCAAAGTTGGAATAAATTTGTCCCTTTGAGGCTACGTTAACACAGCTCAGTCTTTCGTAAGTTCTTCAGGTGCCAGAACAGAAACCATTGGCAAGCAAGAGATGGGGCAGGGCACAGACAACTTGGGCAAAGCACATGTTTTGGGAGCTCTTTAAGGATATTATAGAAACATAGAAACTGAGCGAATCAGAAGGGTCCTCCCAGGCCATCTAGTCTGACCCCCGGCTCCAGCCGGCTCCACTCATGACATGCCTACCATGTGCATGTGCAGCCTGTCCTTGAACACCCTCACCGGTGGGGCCTCAACCACCTCCCGTGGAAGCCCCTTCCATATGCTAGGGGTCCTAACTGGCAGAGTAAATTAGAGTCCTACTCAACCAAGATACACCTGTGTGCCACTGTAAGAAACAGCTGGGTAAGAGGCCTTGCCTCAGATCCCACATTAGGATCTGCTCTGCATCTTTCTTCCCCTTTGACATGGATATGGAAGCTGAACTGGTGCTTGAACCTCAACTCCTGTGGCCAGTGGTCATACCAAGTGCCCCCGTTGTGAGTCCATACTCAAGGAAGACAGTATGTTGTAGGGTGTTGTGCAGCTTCCTTGGCCTGTTGTGGAAAGGCTCAAGCTGGGCTTTGAATATGAAACAGTGGCCTAGTTAAGCATTCCTGGAGTAAGTGGAGGGATGCTTCGGCCTCACATGTTCCCTGCACATGAGGGGAGAAGACTGAATACTTCTCCTTTTGACTACACCCCCGTTTTTGCGCATGCTCCACCTTAAGGAACTGTGGTTTACTCCAACTCTGGCTCATTAAACAAGGAAGAACTGAAGCCACGATTTGATCGTGATTTCTTTTAACAAAGTGAAGAAGAAACCACATGCTCCTCAGTTCAAAATTTGTAAAATTTTTGACTTTTTATTCAAAATGGAAAGTAAAACGTTTCAATCTTTACCCCCGGTGCAAGTAGCAAAGAATCGGTGACATGAAAGACACACTGGCTTGAGGCGTCTCCTTTTAGGACGAAACCTTAGTTTAACATTACATTTGAAGAAGACCACTGTATCCTGAACGTGCATGTCAGCTTTAAGTTCAAGGCTTGGGTCTTCAAGGCAGATACTGCATCACAATATATCTTGCACTTTCCTTCCTGCTTTGAAAATGGTACAGGGGACAAGACGCAATTATAATTTGGAACAAAAATTTAATTTTGGAATTTTAATTTGTCTGAAGGAGAACCAGTGTTGATACTGATCCCTCATTGAGGTATTAGCTGCATTCACTCATTCAAAGAAGCAACCCTGCGTGGTTACCATGGTTCATGTTTTTTACCATGATCTACCTGCAGACAATCAAGTGGTTTCTACTTTACTGTGGTTTCCACCTTAAGTCGCTTTTCTCTCTCATTCTCATTTTTACCTTTCTCATCTCTCTGGCTTGCTCTGATTCTCCTTTCCATTGTTTTGAACAGTAGCCAAGCAGATCAACTTCACCCGAAACACTCTGGTTACCTAAATTGAGTACAAATATTAATGAATGAAACATATCTACTTAAGAGTATGCAAACTTAAAAAAACACATAAAAATACCACAAATTTTACTTGTGAATTTCCTCTGCAGGGATCTGCTCCACCTGAAAACCAAACAGCGAGAACAATAAACATGAAAACCTGGCCTTCAAAACTTGTAAACTCCCAGTTCACAGAAGGTTCAGGAATGACTTAATCACACAACAGAAACACTAATGCAGTTTACCACCATAAGAGATGATGAACGTTCACTCGTTTAGACGATTTAAAAAATGTTTTAGACTGTTTTAAAGGCTGTGTGATCCCCTCTTGACCATGACTGCTAAGTCCAGGCAGGGAGGCAATGCAAGTCCTTCTGTTTTGTAAGCCAGGCTGCAAGTATCATTTCTCAGGCAGCCGAACACTGCCAGCTGCTCACAGGAAAGAGGGAGTAGTAGAATCCCGAGTTTTGCAGCAGTACAGACCCCACTTTCATGCTGCCAAAAGCGCCCCGTAAGGACTGAGCATGCTCAGCGGGCAAGGAATACTCCCTGGGGTTGGACTGAGCTGGGTGGAAAAACAAGGGGGTGAAGGGGACGACACAGGCGTGGATCCCGAACAGGGAGCATTCCGCACAGCAACCTCATTCTACCTCCAAAAGCCAAACCCTGAGGCTCAACTCTAGGTGAGCTTTCACACATGGATTCCAAACTGCAGAGCTTTTGGCTGGCTTTTGGAAAACGAGGCCTGTCTAAAAAAAAAAAAAAAATGAACAAGGGAGGCCCTTGGTCTGGTTCAGGGAGACAAGTATCAGCTTCTAATGCAAGCCATCCCAGCCCAGGGGAAGCCTACCTTTTCAACAGGTGAGCTATACAGGTATAGAGCTGCCTGCAGTACCAGAGCGCAATAGCAAGAAGAGTCATGGCGATCGCAGACGGTCCCCTTACAGCTTGTAGCACGGGACCCTAGAAAGGAACGGTAATGTGTCAGCAAGGTAAATTTAAAGAGGCGGCGTACTTCTCTCGTATTGCTTTGACCGAGGCTGCAAAAGTAGCCCTCACTGCCTTTCAGAGTCCCTCTCTCTGACACACTTTGCTCTCTCCTCCTGCTAGAAAGAATTCAGCAACTGCCCCATCCTATCATCGTTTGCAGGTGATACATGGGCAAAATCAGACATTCAAGGAAGCGCAATCGGTACTTACAGACTGGGTGCTCACTTAGATTTTTTTTTTAATTAGAACTTGGACAAAGGAATCGTGTTTTAAAATGGATTGCTGGTGATTCAGGCCATGACACAAACACACAGACAGTCTGACTGTGGGATGGGATCACAAACAGAGTGTAGGTACACTCTGTTGCAGAAACCCAATGTTCATCACACCACATTTCTTTGGAAAAAAAAGAGTTTATGGTCCATGCTTCTTACTAGAAGTGACCTTTTGATGAAAAGGGCTAACAGGAACTGGGAACTGAGAAAAGAGCTGAAAAAATTACACAGAGGTCCAGAGGAAGAGACTAGGATGAAAAGAAGATGAGACTGATCAGATAAAACCCTTGACCACAACTGAGAACTGAAGCAGCTGTTAGGGTCTTGGGTCAAGAGCGGTCAGTAGGTAAAGAAATATCCTGTGAGCAAGCTATGATAAAGACGTCTGGTGCCATCTCTGAGCTTCCCCAGTGTGGGCTTCCCAAAATATCCTGTTTCAAAGGGCTTCTAAGATCAAAGACCAGTTTGGAGCCCTTTGGAGTGAAGCAAGTTGGAAGAAGTTGGACCTTTTTATTTAAACGTTATTTTAATTGTTGATTCTATTTATTAACTTTAAATTATTATGCCAGGATGTCTCCAGTTTTTTATGCATTTGTATAGATATATATTTATATGTTGGAAGCCGCCCCGAGGCTTATGCGAATGGGGTGGCATACAAGTATTCCAAATAAATAAATAAGAAGTGAGTCACTGCTTAGCCACCTCTGATGCTCACCGTCATTTTGGGGAGAACTGAAACCCGCAAGCATACCTCTGAGTGAGCATCTCACTTTAGCCCTTGTCCTTCTCCCCTGAGATCTGGTCTGAGCCATTCATCCACTGCCCAATGTTTACCTGCAGACACCCATGTGCTTATAGATGTTTCTTCCTGGGCACCTGCTAAATTCCTTGCTTGTCCCTCCTGATTTTTTTCTAAATGTGTTTCAAAGTAAAAGTTGTGATGGGGAGTCAAAATGAACCAGTGCCGTTTTCGCTTCCACAAAACTTCCAGGCCCTTAAGGGATTCTTAGCAAATGAAATGGTGGGCCAATGCAGCCCACCATATTGGTGTGAAATGGGCCCAGCTTCCCAAAAATGGTAAGCTGGGGATGGGAAGGAACATCCTGCTGGGCTAAAGGGGCTGATGGGAAGTGACTGGAAGGGCAAAGAACGCGACTGGACAGCTCGGAAGCAAGCCCCTCCTCTGCATCTTGGCTAAGTTTCTTTGCCAGAATACTTGTCTCAAAGTCTCAACAGTTTGCATTTTGTAAAAAGAGAGCTCCATTGAGTTAAGTGGACCCAATGATTTGACTTGGGATGAAGAAGTGTTCGAGGGGGCCCTGTTCTTTTACGAAGGTGTAAGATTTGTGTTAATTTCTTTAGGGCTTGACTATTAAAAAAGAATAGTAATAATGGGAAGGGCCTTTTCCCGCTGTTATCTTCTCCACCTTCCCCTCTCTCTAATCTTGGTTGGAATCTACCATCACCAATCCAAAGCTGAAGTAGCTCTAACTTCTTTGAACAACCTCCTTAATCCCCGCATTGTTACTTGCAGGCAAATGACCTGACTGAGAATAAGCCCATGGATCCAAGATAAGCCATGCAGCTATTAGAGCAGGAGACCCAACCTTTTTCAGCCAAAAATGAGCACTTTTTGACTTTTGAGAAAGTCTCAAGCACTCCCACAAAATGGCCACCACAGCAGGCAAGGCCCAAGAAGCAACCCGATGAGGCTAAAAGAAAGTACGTTGACCCAGAACCTAAATACAAGGCAGAGGAGGTCAGAACTCCAGGAGGCACAGCTTCCGACTCCAGTGCTTTCCAGATATTTGGGACACCAACTCCCACAATCCTTGACCACCAGAGGTTATAGGAGTTGTAGTCCCAAACAGCGGGAGTGCATCAGGCTGCCAGTCCTTGGTCTACACTGCCTGGTTGTGTCCCTCCAGAGGGTTTTTTCCAGGCCTACCTGGAGATGCCAGGGAACGGACCTGAGCCCTGCATGAAAGGCAGGTGTTTTTCCACTGAGCTGAATCCCTCCCTTGACTGAGTCATTACTTTGACAAAGGGAAACCCATCAATTAAATCTCAAACTGTACACAAGGAAGGAGGAGGCTGACATATGGTAGTATTTACAAGGGGCAGCCTTGCAGGAGGGACCTTATCTTCAAACAGAAAATGCACGGCGCAGAGGTGCTCTACCTCTCCTCTCCAAAAGGGAGGGGCCTGAAAACACAGAGAGAAGCCTGGACTTTGGAGCCTGCAAGGTCAGAAAGGAGAAACAAAAGCGGTCAATGTATATTGTGCCTCTTTGTGTTAGCATGCCCCGCCCATGCACTATCATCCATGCCAGTGCAATATTGTGCAGAGAGAGGATCTTTAAAGCTGTATTAAAAAGGCACCGCTGCTTCACACTCGTTTCTGAGCATCCATCTGCAGCCCTGCCCCTTGGCAGCTCTTCTCTTCCAACACTCAGACCTCCAGTTTGTTGCCAGGCAGTCACAAACAGTGCATGACAAATCTTATCTTTTAAAGCACGCTTGTTGTTTTAGAAAAGCAGACTCACTGCTGCACTGCAAACCAAAATGGACAGAAGCAAAGCAAAATCTTGCAAAAGGCAGTTTAGGGGAGGAGGAAGAGCACAAGATTCCAGCTTCAGTCCTTCACATCTTCAACTAAGGAATCTAAAAGAGCTGGGGCCAGGGCAAAAACTAGCTCAGGGCTTTGGAAAGCCATGATTTCATACAAAGCAACAGCATAAACACAAAAACAAGTTCTGGTCCGTACACACCCAAAATGTCACCCCCACCACCCCACCAGCTATCACCCAGCTTTGGGGAATCACAAAGTTTGCAGCAGGATCCCACTGCAAAAAGCAGAAAACACCTGTGGGGTGTGAATGTGTGCAAACGCTGCCCAGTGGCGTCTGAGCATGTTCGGCAACGAGTGTGCCGGCTGAGGGCTGTGGGGTGCATGCAAGGTGTGTGAACAGAGAGAGGGAGAACGGAACGGAATATCCTAGAAAGCCGCGTGGCCGGCTGGCACCCTTGTGCAGAGGGTTGCCAATCTCCGGCACGTTCCGAATCTATTGACCTCTGGCAGAGTGCAGTGGAGAGTCCTCTGCGGAAATCACAAAGCCATGTTCTACTTCTGTTTTACCTGAACGCTTCCTCTGTTCGACCATGCCAAGACAGGAAAATTCTGGCCACTAAAAAAATAAATAAAAACCCAACCCCCAGCAAAGCTGCACCCAATGAAGCCTGCATGCCGTATGCATGTCCTTTTGATTCCCAAGGCCCCAACCTCCCCTGCAGCAGAGCCTGCCTCTTCTGTTAAGAAAGCAGAAAGCAATGTGCTCAGAGATTTTCCCCAGCAGTGCTGTCTCTCGGCCTGGCCTTCAAGGATGAGAGGCCACTAGTTCTGCTGCTACTGGGACTCGCTCGATTGCTGTGCCAAGGAAAAAGTCTGCTGGGATTGGCTTGTACTGACTGCATGGAAAAGATGACCACTTCCCTATTTTCCACTCTCCAAAAGCACTTACTTGCAGTTCATACATAACCACCCCACTCACAAATCCGAGTGCATCAGAGCCTTCTTTTTAGCAGTGTGAACACACGGAAAGCCCAGGAAAGGATATGGTGGCGGCTAATACATATCTAGCACCTGGGTAAGGTTTTCAAGCATGAGAAGTGCTGCTCTGGCCCTCTCGCCAGCACACTGCTGCTACTGGACTGAGGCTGGGAGATCGCGGTCCATGGTGGCAACATGCAAGGAAGAGGATGACGATTTCTATACTATTCAATAGCCAAAGCTCTCGGGGCAGTTTATAATGAATAAAATACAAAATAAATTCAAAATCACAATGAAAACATCATAACCGTGTAAAATTCAAAAGCCAAATTTTAAAGCAGCCATTAAATCGCAAGACCTGTTAAGCAGTTGACACAATGCCCCTAAGTAGTATATACCAATTAAATGTCCGGCCATAGAGGTCAGTCTTAACGTGGCACCAGAAAGGTACTAAAGCTGGCACCAGGTGGGTCTCAGTGGGGAGCATGTTCCAGAAGTGTGGAGTCACCACTAAAAAGCCTCTTCTCCTTCTCCCCTCCTTCAGACAGGGCACCTGGAGGCAGGCCTCAGATCCTGACCATAGTGCCTGGGTAGACTATGACTGCAACAGCTGCTCTGTCAGGTGCCAAGCCACGCAGGGCTCTGCAGCTTAAAACCTCTGTAGGCTCTTTGCACGCGTGTGTGCATCAAAGGATAGGCAATACAAGCCCTTTTGCATTCCTTATGCAATTTCTCATAATTCCATGGAGAAAAGAACTCACTGCTGCCCCATGCTGCACACTTTTCATCAGAAGGGCAGGATGGCAGCAAATCCTGGTGGGAGCGGCAGGCCTTGAGCATGGGCCGAAGTGGCGGCTAGGCAGCTGGAATGGGGGGGGGGGGGCTTCCCCAGAATTTTTTTGAGGTGGGAGAAGACAGCAGAAAAGGGAAGAAACTTCTCAACTCTGGGCACAGTGCATGTGTCTGGGTTTCCTCATGGTACGGTCAGAGAGGAGACATTGGTCCCTGACTTCCACGTGGAGATACAACAACTTACAGGAAGGGGCTGGGTTTCCTCCTCCTGTCCCCAGGACTACCTTACTCTAGAGATGAAAAATTCTGGCATGGAGGAAGGTCCTAGGGCAGAAAGTTTTTGTGCAAACACTGTCTACTCATTTGAAGAGTTCAACTCAGAAGAAAGGCTCTCTTTTGCTCTTACATTTTTTGGCAACTGGCAAGAGGGGTTTTTTTTTTTTTTTTGGTTGCTTGGGAACTTTTATCCAACCACCTTGAGCAAAATCTGAGAATGTGAAGCCTCTAAAACTAACAAGCCAGGCATAATTTGAACCAGTGCTTTCCTGATATTTACCTCCCTTACTCAGGGCCAAAGTAGAACAGGTGTGATGACTTATGCATAGGATCTTTTTTTCTTTTTAATGGCTACAAAGGCTCCCAGTTTTGTCCAGGACCGGGCAGTGAGGGAGAAGCGCAAGCCCTTCCTCCTGCACCAGTTTCTCAGCCGCCATCCCACCCAGGAGCTGTAATTTCTTCCGAGGGGCAAATTTAGCCAGTATCATCAACGGGGTGCACTCCCACGGTGCGCTGCTCCGAGGGAGCCCCGCTTGGCCACAGGCCAATGACACCTGCACTCCACCGCGGAATGCCCCGCTGCCTTGCGCAACCCTCGGATACGGTGGCGCTCATCTCTCGTGCTACTTTACCCGGAGAGCGAGCGCGCAAAAAGGTGCGCGCAACCAGGGCTGCGCCTCTGCTCGGTGTACATGACTCTCCCTTTTGCATCCAGAGGCTGGAAGGCGGGCGGTGCTGGGAGGACGCGCCCTCTGCAACAGCGCGAGGGAGCGACTCCGGCCTCGAGGCACCCCGGATCGCCTCCCCTCTTGCCCCGTCCCAGCCTGGGCGCTGCTCCCCAAGCCTGCGGGGCACTTCCATGGCCAAGGCGAGGCGCTGCCCTCGGGGACTGGCTTGCGTGGTAAGGACGGCGCTGGCCACTTGGCGCTTCCCGGGGCTGGCACGCCGACCCTCCGCGCGAGTCAGGAAGGAAACTCGTCGCGGAGAAGGCCATGGCGTGCAAACGCGGGAAGGGTCGGCAAGCCCCCGCGCCCTCCCCATCCCAAGCAGCGACTGCACTCGGTTTGGAAACAAGCCCACGCAGCGATGGCGCAGGCGGAGGCTCAGGAGGCGCTCGCTAAGCGACCCGCGAGTAAGCACGTCGACGCGGGCAGCCGGCGGCCTCCAGGGCGGCTTCCCGGCGCAGGCGGCAGATGCGGGGCCCCGCTCCCGAGGAAGCCGGAAAGCGGCCGCGCTGTTCGCCCTTCCCTCCCAGGCGCCGCGAGCTGGACGCGGCGCAGAGCCAAGCGGGAGCAGCCCGGAAGGCTTCTCTCTGGCGGAGACGCGGCGCCCCTTCCTCGCCTGCAGCCCGGTCCTTGCAAAGCCGCGACCGCGCCTTCGAAGCTGCCCGCGGCGCCTCCTCACCTGCGGCGGCCCGCTGGGAGGCGGCTGCTCCTCCGGCCGCCACGGCTGAGTGCCGCGGGGCTCAGACGGAAAACGCCGCCCCTCGCCCCCCGCAGGCTCCTCCTGCTGGCCGACCGGACACGCCTAGAGGGAGGCAGGGGCGGGCCCGCCCGCCGGGATGGCGAGGAAGCGGCGCTGGCCGCTGTTCCGTCCTCGGCGAGAAGCACCCTCCGCTGGCCGACAGGCGTGGGAGCGGCCGCCTCCCGCCGGCGCGGCCGAGCCCCGTCGGGGAGAGAGCAGCGCGAGACGCGCGGCGCCGGGGGCCGTGGCCTCGTGGCGCGCTTCCCGCCCGCCCCTGCCCCGGCCTCTACCCCGGGAAGGTGAGGTACTGCGGCAGGAAAGGCGTGATCGACCGGGGCTGGTTTGTTAGCGACAGTGAAGAGCGCGGGTTCAAAAGAGGCCGAAAGCGTAAGCCCGCTCCGCACAATGCAGTCTTGGCCGAGAAGGCACTAGTAGCATTCGCGGCTAGCACAGAAAAAGGCGCTCTGAGCAAGCTCAACCAGCAAAAGGCGGCGGCGGCGGCAAAAAACGGGCAACATTTAGTATGTGGCTGAGGCAGGAGCTGCCCCAAGACATTTCAGGCCAGATGTTATGCAGCATAGACCATGATGAAAATGCGTTCAACTTCCTGCACGCGTTGCCTCTGAAGAATGGAAACCCTGACAGCAACAGTCATCTAAATATGGGGCGGGGGGGGGGCAAACTTTGAAATCAGATGGCCCTTAGCTTAGTTTTTAAAAAAGCATTGCATCACATGGTTTTCATATTGGAGTCCCTCTCACTCCAAGGAACTTGGAGGCCTGTACACACCTCTTTGCTTCCCCACCATGTTATCCCCACAACAACCCTGTGAGGTAGGTTCCACCGAGAGCGAGAACTGGGCCAAGACCACTCAGCAACCTTCATGTCTGGGTGGAGACTTCTTGAAGCCTAAATCATAAGCTTCACCACATGGGGTGAACCAGTTTCATGGAGGGGATATTGTCAGTGGCTGTTAACCAGGATGGCAAAGGGGCACCGTCAGACAGAGGCATCCTGATTATCAGAGACAGCAGAAAACGGCATGACCTGTTAAGACTTCGTCTACAGCTGCTGAAGCAGAACATGGGACTGGAAGGAGTTTTGTCTGAACTATTAAGAGAAGTCTTAAGCTGTTGTTCATAGAACTTTGATTTCAAGATAAGAGCTCCTATATCTACACCACCACTGGAAATGGCCCAATTTTATGTTGTATAGTGATTAGTAAAACAAATTAAAAAGAAGCAAGCATCCAGGACCCTCAGAGATGAATAGTGCAACTCTAGAAAACAGATGGCCTTCAACTCTAAAATGTTCTGCCACCATTACAGCCTATTCTAATTAGTATTAAACAATCTTAATGCATCGAAAGAGCCACCAGAATGGATGCGATGACCACCCCAGTCCAGTGGCCACTTCTGTCACAGTCAGGACGTATTCTGCAACTCTTCTGAAGTTTTTCAAATTCAGTAGAAACTAGAATTGTAAGCCGCCCTGAGCCTTTCGGACAGGATGGGATAAAAATGTTTTTAATCAATAAAGGAGAAGAGAAGAGAAGAACTTCCCAATGCTGGCAGGCAATGCCATATGAATCAGAGGTTGCTTGTAACGGTGGAATGAATACAGAAAGCCAACTCACCCCCCCCCCTTGCATGTACACACCCCTTCACAGTAGGGCAGGTGCTGATCCTTTTCCAAGTCTAAAAAGTTGCACACAAATAGGTACAGAAATATGACTGCTGTTGCAGATCTCCTTAGATACCAAGCTGCTCTAAATATTTTATTTCCCTCCAGAGGATGTGATTCAGACCTGGTTGAACAGAATGACTGTCCATTGCTGTGAAGTCACTGTGGTTTTGATTTCACTTGGACACTGGATAAAAAGCAGAGAATGAAAGTACTGCTTTTGCACAACTTTGGATCCAAGGACATGTGCCCCAGATGAAGTGTGGTAGGCAGTTTAGAACAAGACATGTCCATATGGCAAAAACTTGCAAATTAACCACAACCGTTCTAGATTAGATCTATTTTCAGCACTTAATGTGATCATCCTTTATCTTATATGATGTTCTGTTAGCAGAAACAACATAAAGGCAATTAGAAGGTAGGAGACCCATCTTTGATGATTAGACAAACGTGTAGTTAATTGATATCTACTTGCATATACCACTTCCTCCCAAAGGGCTCTCACTGTGGCAAAACACAAGAAGCACACTGAAAGCAGTTCAGTTTGAAGCAGAACAAAACCAAACAGCAACAGCTCAGAATTGTGCTTCCATTTCCAGTTGGGAGAAAAGCTAAGGCTCAGCATTTTCCAAAGCCTGGTGGAACAGCCTGTTTGCATGACTCCCCCCTCAGTGGAATGGGTTTGGTGAGCCCCTTTTCGAAGGAGATTCTGTCCAAGATACGAGCCACTGAAAAGCTTGACTTCTGGTTTCATACAGTTTCCCTCCACCCAAGCCTGTGGTAACACCTCCAGCAGCCTTCATTCTAACTGCTCTTAACTCAGGGTGTGAAAGGTGCTCCCCCCCTTAACGGGGTAGGCTTAAAATTTCTCTGTGAGGCACACATTTTCTGTATGCACAAGAATGTGTGGGATTGAAAAGGGAATCAACCAAGAACCTCTAGACTGCTTGGAGTGGTGCAATCTAGAAAAGCTGTTGGTTGCATAACTATTTCGCTCCTTTGCTCTGATATGCCTACAAACGTGCTGGTGCAGCTCCCAGAAAACCTACAGGAGCTGGAGTCCACCTGTGTGCAGTTCCAGGGCTGCAGGATCTCAGGTAAATTCACCTGTTTCTGGAAGCCCCCAGAGGCAGTTGGAGAGCATAGCTGAACAAACAGACAAGGAGCTATCAATACAACTCTGGGAAAAAGTGCAGAACCACCAATAAAGGATGAATTATTCTTTTTAATGCTGAACTATGAACAGACCCCAAAGCACTGTCAAATCCATTATTACAAAATTGAAAGAAGATGGCTGAGTGGTGACTTGGCCTAAGGAAGGCCACCTGCCCAAACCTTTTTGTGTTTCTGCCTGTTGCCATGAGAATAGCATCACTGTGAAGCTGAAGGCAGCAGTTTCCTGTTGTGGGTATGCTTTTCCTGAGCAGGGCTGAGAAACTGGTCAGGATTGAGGGCAAGACAGAGGGAACCAAATGCAGCACAATTTTAGAAGAAAACGTGTTTCACTCTGCAAGAGGCTTGAAATAGGGAAAGAGGGTTCACCTAGCAGGACAGTGACGCTAAGCACGAGGCGAAGTAACACTGGAGTGGCTTCAGGACGAGAATCTGGATGTCAAAGCCCAGCCCTCAGTTTATTGAGACTCTCTGGCAAGACTTGACAGTTGCTGTTCATCAGTGGTGCCCACCAAAGCTGACAGAGCAGGAGCAGTTTTGCCAGGACGAATGTGCAGGAGCCAGATGTGCAAAGCTGGCAGAGACCCAAGAAGACTCGCAGCTGGAATTCCTGCCAGAAGTGCTTCTACCAAGTCTTGATGAAGGAGGGGGGATAAATAGTGATGTAACCTTAAGTGCAACTTAACTTTGGTCCAATAATAAAATAATTTGCACCTTTATACTGCCGAGTATCTTGCGTACATCAAGGGGTAACAATGCCAGTCAAACTCATTTCTGATCCAGGTGGTAACACAACAACGTGGAAAGGTCAAAGGGAGGGTGAATATGTCTGCATGGCACTGTATGAACCAGCCTTCAGGGATGCAACAAAAATGATTTCACAGGGAAAAATATTTAATCAGTATAAGGTGTCTTAGGAATGCAAAATAAGCCATCTCAATGCAGCACAATAGGATGGCCAGTTCTACCTCAGAGAGGATGAAGCTGCATTTTGGTGAGTTGCAGGAGAACAGTCCTGTATTTGAAGCAGTTCTCTATTTTATAGGGTCCCTTGTCCAAGTCCAGTTTAAAACAAAAGCCCCCTAATAAGGCGGAACTGCAGGGAACCGACATTTCCCACCAACACTGAGCATCTGCTAGGCAGTCTAAGCAGGTCCAGAAGTCACCTAGCCTGTCTTCTGCACTATAATGAAATTAACATATGCAAATGTTATGCAAAGTTACGCCCTCTTTTTTGGTGACGCACATCCTCTTTTTGGCAATGTGTAAGTGGCCACCCTAGCCGTCAGTCTTGCTTCCATTGTCTTTGCTCATTTGTATGATCTTTATGTTCAGGAGAATAGCCACTAACACGACAAAATATAATAATCCCCAGTTAAAGATAGAATCCCTGGTTAAAGTTAAAACATGCAAATGTACTCATGCATGAATACCTGCAGATCTGTCCTTGAGGAACAAAGGAAAACTACAGATTTCAATATATTTCCCGTTTAGAATAACTCGGTGCTTGAATAGCTATTGACATATGCACACCCATTTCAGCTGCAGAAACTCACTACCTTTTCCTGCCAAATTAACAGTTTCACGTCTTTCAAACTCTTAACTCCTTGACCTCTCATTTTCCTGCTCCTTCAGTCCGTCCATGCCTCATTCTGGTGCTTTGGCATGGAGGTTGGACAAAAGGTCTTCCAAGCTAAAATTCTTTCTCCTGGATTAAGGTGCTGCTTGTAGCAAAAGTCTTCTCTGCAGAAAAGGCTAATCTTTATAGACCAATGCAGCGAGCTGGCCAGCTTCCTGTGACATTTCCGAGAAACATCTCAACAATGTTTCATAGCCTTTTGCACACGCTTCTCCAGAGGCAAACCACAAAATTTGCGCAGCCTAGTGCAGGGGAGGAAGGTTGCTCCCTGAATCAAATCTGTCTTTGGACTAGACAGTTTCCTTGGGTGTGTGTTGGTTTTTCTGTTAATGTTATTCACAAAGGCCCTGCCTTGTGTCTTTCGTGCACATGACCACCAGCTACATCAATTCAAAAAGCCAGAATGCCGCTTTTAAAAATCCTTTACTGAACAGTGGAACAGTGTCACCGCGGCATGGATGTTGCAATTGTGCGTAAATGTGAAAAAGCCCCACAACATGGCATTGGCAAGAGATTCCTGGATTTCATCCTTAGCTGGATAAAA